TCCATATGTATACATATATATTTGTACATCTGTATGTTTGTATATATTTTAAGTCAATAATATGGCCTAACCTAGTCATGAATTCAAACTATGGTAAGAACATATGCCAACTAACAGCAAAATACCCCCAAACTCAACAAAGTGTTTTATTTCTGGAAATAATTTCCAAAACTTTTCAGATTTTTTTCTGACTTATGGTCATGTTTTTGAGTCTCTTTTTCAAAGAATAATCATTACTAATATATGGACCCTAAACCAACAGCTTAACAAAACTTGAGAAAGTTGGATATACAACTAAAAAACACCCAACTCAGACTTTCTGACTTCGAAACTCTAGGGATGAAATTCAGTAATATGAGTTAGACATGCCTTTCAGATGATCCTGATGCAGACTGCAGTTTGAGAATCACTATGTCACTCTCATTTCATAGTATTTCATACTTAACATTTGGATATTCCAAGAAATAAAAATAAATTGATTAAAATTAAAGACCAATATATTAGTGTTGAAACAAGACATGACCCTAAATTATTTAATTGTATGATTTCTTAGAGAGGAATCTGTTATCAGTGTAAAGGTGTAGACTTTCCTATGATTAGGATATAAAAGGAAACTAATGAAGTTGATTTATGCAAATGGAAGATTTGGGAAATGTACCAGCCCAAATTTATCTGAAATTCAGAAGGATTTTTCTAGAACGGACTACCTGAAATTTTTGTGGATAAAGTGAACAAATTGCTTAGTTCAATGTTGATTTGATAGTCTATAATTTTATTAAGTAACCTTAACATAGTTGCTGGCTGGTTGATAAAGTAATAGAAGAGCAGATGAAGGGCTATCTCCTCAGACCTGGTGTTTCAGACATTTGTGTCAATGTTCTGTTAATGATTTAGGACAAATTCTGTATAATATTGTACACAAAATAGTAATGAATGTGCCCTAGAAATATTTCAACTTAAAAAAATAAAACATGCAGTAAAAAAAAATTGTGAACTCAATTCAAAATAACTTAGTGTACTATTAAAGCTTAAGTGTTTACAGATGTGAAAATAATTCAGTAAAACTTATAACCCATTGTAAGTTAAGTTTAAGTCAATGCTGATAATTGCAGAAGTACCAAAGAGATCACACACTACATTAGTATAAGTAGAGGAAGAAGAATGAAGCTGTTCTCGGCCCTGTAAACTGATTTGGGATCCATGAAGTATTTTAAATGGAACAATAAAAGGACCAGATGAAATGTTGTTAATTTATATTCAGGAAATCGAGTATAAGGATGAGAGATCAGGATCAGGAAACTAGCTATGATAGCTATAATTCAGGGGAAAATGTTTAAGAGAAGATGATTTCAAAGAATATTCCCAGGGTTTTTGTTGTTGTTTGTTTGTTTGTTTTGACAGAAAAACTGATTGGAAATGGAAAGTTGCCACAAATCTAGACATTTAGCAACTTTTCAGAGATTCAATGTGAATGACTTAATTTTTCCAACGTGGTGTTCTGCAAAGAATTGCTGAATTACCAACGACTATAACTTGTAATAATTTTGTAACTTATTAAAATAGTTTTCACTGCAAACCTGTGTCTATATGTAATTGTATATGTACATTAAAAGTATATTTCTGTATACCATTTATTTCAATGGAACTAACTGACCTTCAAAGTAAGTAAAATTAGCAACATAATTTTATTCAAAATATAACTTCTTCTTATAATAACTACTATAATGGATACATCATTCATGAAACATGCAAGTCAAAACAGAATTTTTATTTTTTGTAGACATATTTACCTACTGGAAACAAAATTTGTATTTAGCTTTAATAATAAATTCCATTCATGCTAGACGAGGAAATATTCAGCCGACAATGACATTAGGTGGAGGGAGATGAGGATTTTCATTGACAGACCTAATCTGAACAGAGTATGATGTTGCTCCTGGCAAAAAGATCTCTTTTGGGCTTCATAATGGAAGGATGTTGTTCGGAGTAAAAGAATTACCGTCAAGTGTGTTGATTGGCAGCCAAAAATTATATCTGAAATAAGGTACTCTACTTAGTCCACCACATTTGAAAAGAATTATTTCGAACTCTCATGGCATGGAAGAGAGTGGATGGATAGTTAAAGAGTTTTGAAAAATTATAGCATGAGAAAGATAGCAAAAAGATACAGCTATAGCTTGGTAATGACTGTCTTGAGATATTTCCAACCATTTATGAAGGGGAGTGAGCTACTATTGATGAGAATTGACATAGTGAGTGAAACAGTTAACAGTGGTTTATCCTACTTGAAAACAAAGGTTGGATGACCTTCTGCAAGAGTGACTTTTACAGATATTGCCTTACTGTGGAGATTAGAAGAGTTTATCTCTTATGAGCTCTCTCTGCTTTTTCAATCATGTGATTCAAAATGATGCAAAAAAACCTTGTTTTAGTAATATTCTATTTCAAAAACTTCAGTTAACTTTTGAGTTGATTTTATAATTTATTTTTGTTTTAATGCTTGGCTTGAGCTCACAAGCAGCTCCTTGGAAAATATATTTTACTACGTAGTTGAGTGATCTCCAATTTAGGCACTGTTAAGAAAATATGTTAGAATGAGGTTAATGAGCACAAGAAAATGATAAGCCATGTGAGATTCATGTTAGGCTGATGATAAGTAGAATACCATTGCTTGTCTTCATATATAAAAGGCTTGAAATCCAGAGAGTAGGATATCTTAATAAATTAAGAAAAATGTATTCTCAAATCACCGTATCTTAAACGAAAGTTTAAACCCTGCTCATGCTTATTTTCTCTTTTTTTTTTGAGTTGGAGTCTCATTCCGTCGCCCAGACTGGAGTGCAGTGGCCGCTCCCGGCCACCGCAACCTCGACCTGCAGGGCTCCAGCCATCCTTCACCTCAGCCTTCCGAGTAGCCGGAACTGCAGGCACGCGCTACCACGCCCGACTGATTTTTTGTTTTATTGTAGTGAATGTACGTCAGAAGGGATCTCTGTTCATTGTATTAATTCTAAAACTCAGGTGGTAAAGACATAATCTCTCCATGTGCTCCCATGGTGAAAGCAACTGTTAGGAAGAGAAGACAAGAATGTATGCAATGGCTTTTTAAAATTCCTCCAAGGTGAGCTTATTACTTCCATTCTAATTTATGCTTATTACATATTACAACACTCTAAGATGAGTTTACCAACTTAACATAAATAATATACGAAAACTTTTCTCTTTTAACAGCTCCATTCCCACATCTTTAGTTGTGAATGTTATAAAAGCATACCTCTTCTACATTTTATGCTCAAAAGTTTAAAATATGAATCTTTAAATTTTTTAAATTGTGTAAATACCAACATCTGAAGTTATAAATCAAAGTTACAATGATATAAGCCTTAAGATTAATAATTGTTTTTCTAAACTTTATTGGTCTCTTAAATCATATAGAAATAAGTGGAAATACAACCATTATCAATGTGTACTAGCGTTTTTCAGTTGCTTGTGTATTTACCTTTACTGACACCTTTATTTCTTTATAAAACTTCTAGTTCCCATCTAGTATTCTTTCATGCTACCCCACAGGGCTCTATTAAACATTTCTTGAAGGGCAGGTCTAGTAGTAACAAACCCCCTTAGCTTTCAATGATCTGGGAATATATTAGTTTCCTGGCAGGGTGGCCACAACCAATCCTGGCCCGCTCAGGGAGTGAAAGCCTCTGGAATTCCACATGGACTCCAGCAGTGACTCTGCAGTCTTCAGGCAGCTCTCTGTGTTAGTCTGAAGGCCCCAGGAGTGTCAAGGGAACTCTCCTATGACTAGAATTGTAATGGTCCATGGCAGAGGTGTGGAACTCTGAGGGTTTCTCACTCACTCTCCCTTTCCCATTGTTAGGGAGCCTGTGTTAGTCTGCATACTCAAACAAGAACTACATACATATGTATTTGACCCCTCTAATTTTACCATTACTCTAGGGCCAAACTTGAGTACCAATCCGAGTCCTACTTTGAACTTTTGGATTCTAAATATATAGTATATAGTTATAATGAGGGATCAGAACCAAGGTAGAAAAATTATTTATATTTTTCTAGAACTGAGAAAATCAGAGCATTAGTAAGTTTGATAGATGCCCATTTCTAATAAAATATTTATAGGTTCTTACATTAGAATTGTAAGAACAGCTATTGTGTTGAATACTAGACTTTTTTATTTTAATATATACATTTATAAGAGTGAAACTTTTCCACACAATGGGACAATTTTTAAAAATAGGAATGCTCAGAGACCTCAGTCTTTGCAGAAGAGTAACAACTGGCTATGGACAAATGTGAAATATGACATCTATTATGATTTGAATAATTGTACCTTCCCAAAATTCATGCATTGAAACCAAGTTCAAAACACAACAATATTAAGAGGTGGGGAGGTGGTAGATCATAAGAGTAAAGATCTCGTAATGAGCTGAGAGAAACTGCTAACCTCTTCAGTCACTTGAGGATACAGTTAGAAGGCACATTCTAGGATGCCGAGAACTCCTAACAAACATCAAATCTGCTGGCACCCTGATTATGGACTATCAGCTTCCAGAACTGTGAGCATTAATTTACCCAGTTCAAGGTAATTTTTTGTAGCGGACTGACTGTACCAAGACAGTATGTCATTTTATCCCCATTAAATATTTTCAAATCATCAACAGAAATTTCAAGGATAATTTGAAAAACATGACATAAAGGAAAAGTCTGACTCACTATCTAAGATTCTATTTGAACACCTGAAAGACTTCCCGGTAAATATGAAGATGGTTAACACTGATAGGTCCCTACTCTGACTGTCCTTGTTACTTGCATTTTTACAGTAGTAAGAATGTATCTTATTACTTTTAATGACTAATGACTTCTAATATCCTTTTTCTTGTCAGAAGAAACATGTGATCCTCCCTATATTCTAAATGGTATCTACACAACTGTAAAGGAAAAGCACAGAATTGAAGATGAAGTCACACATGAGTGTAAAAATGGCTTGTATCCTTCAGCCCAGGGAAGGAAGGCAAAATGTACACATAGTGACTGGTTTCCTGCTCCAAGATGTACCTGTAAGTGTCAATCATATATTGACTGACTTTAAAAATCTGAAATGACTTTCTTTCAAACACACAAAAAATGAGAGCACAATAAATATATACTATGGTATCAGTAATGTAGAATCTTTAGAGGACTTCTTTGCTTTTCTAAGCAGGATTAATAACACATTTTTAAAAACTAAAAGTCTTTTAAGTTTTGGCAGCTCTGAATAGTATGTGTGTTTGTGTGTGTGTATGTATATATACATATATATATATTCCCTCAATATCTGAAATAAAACATTGGCCAAGATCAGTTGTCTCTAACACCTCTCATATCAGTTAGGTAAGGTTGTGTAACATATCTCCCTTTAAAAAAATGTGTGCTTAAGACAATGGAACTTTATATTATCACATAATTTATGGGTCAGGCATTTGGGAATAAGTTAGCTGGGTAGTTCTGTGTCAGACTCTCTTCTTGTGACGTCAGAAAGTTGTTCCCGGCTGCTGTCCCCTAACAATTTGGCTGGGTTGGAGGATCTGCTTCCAACATGACTCACTCTTATGGCTTATTTAGTACGTTATTACATTTTCCTCTCTATGGGTCGTTTAAATGTCTGTTAACTTTCTTTAGGAATGGAGATCCTGGAGAATGAAGTAGAAACCTTAGTATCATGTATGACCTACTTACACTCTCTCACCTTAGCCATATCCGCTTTTTGAAGTGAGTCAGTTAAGATCAGCATATCAGCATACACCAAAGGAAGGGGAATCAGGCTCACTATTTGGAGGACAGAATGTGAAAAATTTATGGTCATTCCCCAAACTATCAAATGTAGCAAAATGCCACTGAAACATGCAGAGTAGTTTATTTCTAGGATGGTTCCTTTGCCCCCTTTTCCGTTTTTTCTTTCTCTACAATCATATTCCTTTTTTTCCTATCTTGCAATGCATTGTGAATGTATATCACACTTAAAGTGGATATTTCATGAAAGAAACAAACATTTAATGACTTCAGTGTTAACTTCAGGCAATATTCCAAATAAATTTTTCAAAGCATGGGTTTCTAAAAAAGGTACCAATTATCACTGTGAAACCAATTTTACTGTGCATAAGAACAACAAGGAAAATATATAATTATTTTATGGTTGGTTTATGAAAAAGGTATACAAACCCAAATATTTTTTGAATGAACTGAATCTTTCAATCTTTGATCCTCAGCAGCAGTATTCTACAAGGAAACTTCTGGAATTTTTGTGAACTAGATGGCAAAATTGTCAGGTTAGATGGTTTACCAAATAGTTTGAAATTTTGTTAAATAAACTTATCTGACTATCAGTTGCAGGACTTTGTTCTAAAGCTCCATTACTCTTTTGTGTATTCACATAGTTTAATGACTTAGGAAAAATGCAATATAAATTCACAACTGAAATTGTACAGCAACTGATAATTGTAAAACCACATTAAGAGAGATTAGTAATTCAAAAAGAATCCTATGTGCTAGGTTGAATCTAACAGTATTAATTTTAGAAGTGATAACTGTAAGATCCTGTATTTGGGTCAAAGGACTCAGCTGTGCTAGTACAAACAGATTAACAACAGATATAAAAATTAGTCAATATTTTAATAAATTTTAAGATCAGTTTCAGTCAGCACCATGATAGAACCACCAAAACTGCTAGTGAGGCTATAACCTACACTGGTAGTGAGAGGGCAAGAACCATAACAATTATCACGGGCTTAAGCTGAAAGCATAACATATAACATTTTTTTGTAATCAGCTAATAAACAATAAAACAGCCATTTTAGCTTTTTAATTTTCAGCCAGAGTGTGACTTGCAGCTGCTTGCAGTTTCAGTTACAGGAAAAACCGCAAAATTATAGCCTAGGCCTCAACCCTTCCCCTTACCACATACCACCCCTCAGCAACAACCAATCAGGCACTAATGAAGGGTTACCTAAAATTCCAGATGTCTCAACAACTTCCCCAGTTAACAGACCGTGGTCAGCTTGAGGTTAGTTTAAATGAGGTGGGCCAATCCCATCCATATGTGGTAACCACTGATAGCTGTCATCCAATCAAATAATGACAAGTCTGAAAAACCCCCACCAAGCTCCCTCCCCTCTGTAACCACAATAAAAGTCGCCTGCCTAGGAAAGTCGGGACCTCTGGATGCACTCTGCTGCAGTGGTTGGCAACAGAGGTCCAGGCTCGAGCTTACAAATAAAGACTCTCTTAATTTCACATTGAAATTGGCTCTTGGTGGTCTCTCGGATCGAACTCTTGGCCACTACATTTGGGGGCCGCTACTGTTTGCCCCTTGTCGTTTTCCCGTTTGTCTTGTTGGTGGTGTTCGTTGTGACGTTAGTATTGACAAGTGAAATGGGACAGGCACAGACCACGCCGTTAACTCTCATGACTGATCATTTTTCAGACGTGAAGGAAAGGGCGCCCAATCTGACTGTGGAAATACACAAAAAGAAATTCGGAATTGTGCGCTTCTGAGTGGCCTGCCTTCAACGTGGGCTGGCCACAAGAAGGAACTTTTCTAACGAGTGTTCTCTTGCAGGGCAAGAATGTCATCCTCCAAAGAGGCTCCCAGGGACACCCGGACCAACTACCTTATGTACTGGTCTGGCAAGACATAGTGGAGTCCCCTCCCCCTTGGGTAAAAGTCTACCTTCCTACCCCAACCAAAGCGTTGAGAGTGCTCACTCTGCAGGAGAAGGGAATGGAGCCTCCGGAGAGTGAGTCATCGCAGCCTCGGGAGAAGCCAAACCCCTTCCATAAGTCTCCAAAGAACCACTTTTACCCCATTCTCCCTGACTATAATGTGGAGGAGATAATTTTTCCCCCCTATACCAGTCAGTTCCCCCAGAACCCTCAGCCCCACCTGCGCCGCAGCCCCAAGCCGCTGCTGCAGAAGCGGTCCCTGGAGCGGCCAGGGAAAGGAGGCAGGAAGGGGAGGCGGACCGACCAGCCACGGGACCGAAGGAGGGTCGCCCGGGTGGCTGGTCCTGGAGTGGGCCCTGCCGACTCCACGGTAATCTTGCCACTCAGGGTGGCTGGGCCCCAGGATGAGACCGGGAACCAGCCTATGCATCACTGGCCATTTTCCACTAGTGATCTATACAACTGGAAAACACAAACCACTACTTTCTCTGAGAATCCTAGGGGGCTGATTAATTTGCTGAAAAGCGTTCTCTTTACCCATCAGCCTACCTGGGATCATTGCCAGATGCTGTTACAGGTGTTATTCACCACTGAGGAGAAAGAGAAAATCCAGACGGAGGCCCGGAAACTAGTTCCAGAAATCGACGGACAGCCCACCACCAACCCTGATCTAATAAATGCAGCCTTCCCTCTTTCCCGACCTGGATAGGACTTTAACACAGCAGAAGGTAAGGAGAAACTCCGGGTCTACCACCAGGCTCTGATGGCAGGTCTCTGGGCGGCTACTCGCAAGCCCACTAATTTGGCTAAAGTGTATAACATAAGGCAGGATAGGGACGAGAGCCCAGTCACATTTTTGGAGCGTATTATGGAAGCCTTCTGTCAATACACTCCAATGGATCCAAAAGTGCCCAAAACTAAAGCGGCTGTGATCATGGCGTTCATTAATCAGGCAGCACCAGACATAAAAAAAAAAAAAAAAAAAAAAAAAAAACTGCAGAAAGTGGAGAGATTAGGGGGAAAACGTTTACAGGATTTGCTGGAAGTGGCAGAGAAAGTCTATAACAATAGAAAAAGTCTGGAAGAGTGAAGACATAGTGAGCAGCAAACCAAGGGGCTGGCCAAGATCCTCTTAGCCGCCACTACCCAGGACCCCAACGAAAAGCAAAAGCGGCTAAAGAAGCTGACTACTGAGCCAGGCAACAAACTGGGGAATCCGCAGCCAGACCGCCCCAAGCTAGGGAAGAATCAGTGTGCCTACTGCAAGGAAGAGGGGAACTACATAAAGAACTGCCCAAAGCGCCCTCCCGGTCCTGAGAACAAAGTGACTGTACTTGTAACTGAATAGGGAGGTCAGGGCTCAGAGTCCCCCCTGAGCCCCGGGTAACCTTAGAGGTAGGGGGGAAACCCGTAACTTTCCATGTGGATTCAGGAGTGTAGTGATCTGTGCTACTGATGCCACAAGGTCCCCTCTCAATTAAGATCTCATGGGTGCAAGGAGTTAATGGGTTAAAACTGGCACCCTGGACCACTAAACGAACAGTGAATTTGAGTACTGGCATGGTCACCCATGAGTTCTTAGCTATCCCCGACTGCCCGTACCCTTTATTCGGGAGAGATCTATTAACCAAAGTAAATGCGGACCTCAGCTTCTGCCCAGCTTACTGTTCTGAAGGGGCAACAGTAAAGGATTCAGCTGGGCGCCCATTACAAATTCTGACTACTAAATTAGAAGATGAATACAGACTATGTCAAACTCCTAACTCAAAAATAACATCGGAAATTCAGGACTGGCTCCAGGAAATTCCCCTAGCATGGGCAGAGACTGGGGGAATAAGGTTGGTCAAACACAGGCCAGCAGTGTTCGTGAAATTAAAACCCGGAGTGGACCCGGCCCGGGTCTGGCAGTATCCAATCCCCGTGGAGGCACGAAATGGGATAACCCCCCATATACGACGGCTGCTGGACAAAGGAATATTGTGACCCTGTCAGTCCGTATGGAACACACCCTTATTGCCAGTACGAAAGCCCAACTCGACCGACTACCGGCCTGTTCAGGACTTGCGGGAAGTAAACCACCGGGTAATGGACATACACCCCATGGTCCCTAACCTCTATACCCTCCTCACCGCCCTGGCTCCAAGCAAAGTTTGGTATACGGTGTTAGATTTGAAAGATGCCTTTTTCAGCCTGCCGTTGGTCCCACGGAGCCAGGACATCTTTGCCTTTGAATGGCTGGACCCAGAAAAAGGTATCAGCGGGCAGCTCACCTGGACCCGGCTTCCTCAAGGATTCAAAAATTCTCCCACCATCTTCGATGAGGCCTTACATGAAGACCTGGGTGAGTTCCGTACTAAACACCCCAATCTAACCCTGTTACAGTACGTGGATGACATTTTGTTAGCTGCCGAAGACCGGGACGCGTGCCTGGAAGGCACCAGAGATCTGTTGCAAGCACTGGGTTGTTCTAGGCTATCAGATCTCGGCCAAAAAGGCTCAGATCTGCAAAACTGAAATAGCTACCTGGGCTACAAACTGAAGGACGGGCAGAGATGGCTATCAGACGCCTGGAAGGAGAAGGTACTCAGGATTCCACGGCCACAAAATGTACGGCAGGTACGTGAATTCTTGGGATCGGCTGGCTTCTGCCGTCTATGGATTCCTGGGTTTGCTGAGCTCGCCCGGCCCTTATATGAGGCCACCAAAAACAGGTCCGACCTCACATGGACAGAAGACATGAACAGATCTTTCAAAACTCTTGAACAAGCACTAGTATCAGCCCTAGCTTTGAGACTGCCAGATCTGACTAAAACCTTTTTCTTGTTTGTTGATGAATCAAGGGAATAGCCAAAAGAGTACTGTTACAGCAGATAGGACCATGGAAGAGGCCAGTGACATACCTGTACAAAAGGCTAGACCCCATGGCTGCCGGGTGGCCCCCATGCCTGCAAATCATTGTAGCGGTTGCCACTATGGTCAAGGATGCTGACAAAATTGCCATGGGAAGAGAGCTACATGTCACCACCCCTCATGCTATTAAAAAAATCCTAAAGCAACCACCCGACAGGTGGATAAGTAATGCCCGGCTAACTCATTATTAAAGCCTCCTTTTAAACCCAGTCAGAATCCTGTTCCAGGCTCTGGCTACTCTGAATCCAGTCACCCTACCACCCGACCAGAATAAGGGAGGTCACCTGCATGACTGCCAAGACATCCTGGCGCAAGTCCATGGAATGCGGGAAGATCTTCCGAATCGGCCCTTAGCTGATGCCAAAGAGACTTGGTACACGGACAGCAGCAGCTTCGTGCAGGGCGGAACCAGGTATGCTGGGGCAGCAGTAACTACAGAGACTGAGACTTTATGGATAGCGCCGCTTGCGGCCAGGACCTCAGCACAGCGAGCTGAGCTCATTGCCCTCACAAAGGCCCTAGTCATAGGGAAAGGGCAGAAAATAAATATCTATACTAACAACAGATATGCTTTTACAACTGCCCATATCCATGGAGCCATTTACAAGGAGAGGGGGCTCTTAACGGCAGAGGGCAAAACTATCAAAAATAAGACTAAAATCCTTGAGTTACTACAGACACTCTGGTTACCCAAAGCCCTGACCATAATGCATTGCCCAGGGCATCAAAAAGAAAACACGCCAATTTCACAAGGGAACCGGTTGGCAGACGCTGAGGCCAAAAAGGCAGCCCTTTCTGTGGACCATGTCTTAATGACCACGCTGCCAGACCCTGGGCCCCTGGATCTGCCGGAAAGCCCAAACTCTACAGAGGAAGATTTAAAATGGATAGATGGACAACCTGGAACTATGTTTTCAGACGGCTGGTGATAGATCCAACACTAGGATAAAGACACCCACAAGTGGGATGTCATCCTTCCAGAACAGCTAGGTCAACAGCTGCTAATAAAGATGCACAGAAACACCCACATGGGGGTTAGAAAAATGAAAAAATTAATACACCATGCAAACATAGTTATGCCCAATGTTCGACGGATGGTTGAACAAATTATAAACCAATGTCAAATTTGTCAGGTTGTCAACACAACTAACCCCAAACAAAACCCGGGGACCAGACTTCGAGGGAACTGACCAGGAACATACTGGAAAGTGGACTTTACTGAGATAAAACCAGGAAAATACGGGTACAAGTATTTACTAGTATTCATAGACACTTTTTCAGGATGGACTGAGTCATTCCCCACCAAAAACAAAACTGCACGGGTGGTGGCCAAGAAACTCTTAAAAGATCTGATGCCCAGGTATGGTTTCCCGGTCCAAATCGGGTAGGACAACGGCCCCAGCTTCATCTTTAAGGTAATGCAAGGGGTGGCCCAGGCACTGGGGGCGGATTAAAAATTACATTGTGCATATAGGCCCCAGAGTTCAAGACAGGTAGAAAAAAATGAACAGAACCCTAAAAGAGACCTTAACTAAATTAGTCCAGGAGACTGGCTGGGACTGGGTGACTCTCCTTCCCTTCGCACTATAAAGGGTGCACAACTCACCCTATAAGCTAGGGTTTACTCCTTTTGAAATTATGTTTGGTGTGCCTCCACCAGTCATACCTAACCTAAAAACAGAACTCTTAATAGACATAGATGATCAAAAACTTTTTTCCCTCCAAACTCTGCAAAGGGTCCACGAGCAGGTGTGGCCCAGACTGAAAACCCTTTATGAGACCGGACCACCACCAACTCCCCACAACTACCAACCAGGAGACTGGGTGTACATCCAACGACATCAACACGAGACTCTGCAGCCACGGTGGAAAGGACCATATGTCGTGATCCTGTCCATCCCCACTGCCTGAAGGTGAAAGGTATTGCATCTTGGATACACCACACCCACGTCAAACTCGCTGACACCCCTGCTGTGCTGAAAGACTACACACCCAAATGGAACAGCCAACTGGACAAGGACAATCCTCTAAAGCTAAGACTGAGTCACACTTCCTCTTCTTCTGCTTCTTCATAATAGGGATAGAATCCCTCTGGGCAGCCCACAATCCCCACCAACCCGTAAACTTAACCTGGCAGGTTATAGACCTTTCCACTAATAACATCATTTGGCAAGCTTCAAACATGACCCCCCCACACACATAGTTTCCAATCATAACCGGGGATCTAACCCACTTCTACCCCACTGCTGCTATGCAATGAAAGCTAACCCAGGGAGGCACTAGCAGCAGGTACTGGTATTTTTATGTGTGTCCGGGGCATGATAGAGATAAAAACTATAACAACCCTACTCAGTATTATTGTCCTAGCTGGTCCTGTGTCACCACGGGGTTCATAAACTGGAGCCCTGCCAAGCCCAGTGACTTAATACAGATACAAAGGGCCGGTACTCCCAACTTCCATAAACGATACAATCCTACCCAAGGTAAACTCTGTAACCCCATAATAATAAGCTTCACCAAAAAAGACAAAAATGCTCGAAAATGGGAAATGGGAAAAGTATGGGAACTCAGAGTATACAGTGCCGGAGCTGGGGATCCCGAAACTACCTTTAAAATAAAATTAACAATAGTTCAGAGCCCCCATACGGCTATAGGAACTAACCCAATACTTGTCCCTGACCCCAAACCGCTGCCACCACACATTAACTACAGAGACTACAACAAACTCATCTAGACAGACAAATTCCATGATTCGGTCCAACCCACAACCCATACATGGACCTCCCATACATCCACTATGGAAATTACTCACCCAAGCTTATACGTTCCTAAATACCACCAAGCCTAAATTTACTCAGTCCTGCTGGTTATGCTATAACATCCAGCCCCCATATTATAAAGAGATCGCAGTAATGGAAAATCATACAACTAAGCATAATTCCAGTTCCTGTAGATAGCAGCCGACAACTCAAGGTCTCTCTCTCCAATTGATAACAGGCCAAGGATTATGCATAGGCCGTCCCACACCAAAATTTCAGTCCCTATGCAATGTCACATTGCCTATAACCAGTTTAGACTATCACTTGGCCCCCGAGGACACCTGGTGGGCCTGTACCACGGGCCTAACTCCTTGTTTCCACGGACGGGTCCTAAACCAAACCCAGGGGGGTTTTTGTGTGTTAGTCCAACTGCTCCCTAAAATCCTCTACCACACTGATGAAGACATACTCCGGTGGTATGCCACCCATACCCACCAGAGAAAAAGGAGGGAGCCAGTCACTGCCATAACCCTGGCAGTCCTCTTTGGACTCGGACTGGCGGGCACAGGGACGGGGATAGCCTCCCTAACAACACAGAGCTGCCAGTATGACGGCCTTAGGGCTGCCACAGCTCTAGGACATTAAAAAAATAAAAACCTCCATCTCTCACCTCCAGGATTCTTTAACCTCCTTATCTAAAGTAGTCTTGCAGAACCGTAGGAGACTAGACTTAGTTTTCCTACATCAGGGTGGACTGTGTGCCACACTGGGAAAAGAGTACTGCTTTTTTTTTTTTTTTTTTTTGAGTCAGAGTCTCACTCTGTCACCCAGACTGGAGTGCAGTGGCTGCTCCCGGCCACCACAGCCTCAACCTGCTGGGTTCCGGCGATCCTTCCGCCTCAGCCTTCCGAGTAGCTGGAACTACAGGTGCGCGCTACCATGCCCAGCTGATTTTTTGATTTATTGTAGAGATGAGGTCTCGCTGCCCAGTCCGGTCTCGAACCCGCGGGCTCAGGCAATCCACTCACCTCAGCCTCCCAAAGGCACAGGATTACAGGCTGAGCCACCAAGCCCGGCAAGTACTGCTTTTATGCAGATCATTCAGGTGTCCTTAAGAAATCCATGGCTAAAGTCCAAGAAGGCTTAGCCAAACGAAAGTTAGAACAGAAACAGAGACAAGGGTGGTTTAAAAGTTGGTTCAATCATTCCCCGTGGCTAACTACCCTGCTGTCCACTATAGCGGGACCCTTACTAATTATCCTATTGTTGCTCACTTTTGGTCCATACATCCTGAATAAGTTAGTAGCCTTTATAAAGGCTAGAGTCAGCACTGTACAACTTATGGTCCTCAGACAGCAGTACAAACAGGTACCCCTAGACAATCTAGCCCCAAGAATCCAAGATTAGATTCACCCCCCTTTCATGACAAGGGGGGAATGAGAGGGTGAGAACCATAGCAATTATCACGGGTTTAAGCTGAAAGCATAACATATAACATTTTTTTGTAATCAGCTAATAAACAATAAAACAGCCATTTTAGCTTTTCAGTTTTCAGCCAGAGTGTGACTTGCAGCTGCTTGCAGTTTCAGTTACAGGAAAAACCACAAAATTATAGCCTAGGCTTCAACCCTTCCCCTTACCACATACCACCCCTTAGCAACAACCAATCAGGCAATAATGAAGGGTTACCTAAAATTCCAGATGTTTCAACAACTTCCCCAGTTAACAGACCGTGGTCAGCTTGAGGTTAGTTTAAATGAGGTGGGCCAATCCCATCCATATGTGGTAACCACTAATAGCTGTCATCCAATCAAATAATGACAAGTCTGAAAAACCTCTACCAAACTCCCTCCCCTCTGTAACCACAATAAAAGTCGTCGACCTAGGAAAGTCGGAACCTCTGGATGCACTCCGCTGCGGCAGTTGGCAACAGAGGTCCAGGCTCAAGCTTACAAATAAAGACTCTTTTAATTTTACATCTAAATTGGCTCTTGGTGGTCTCTCGGATCGAACTCTTGGCCACTACAATAGAAGCATAAAAAGTACAAGGAGGCTGCTCTAAATTGGGCTGATCTCAGTGCTGATCAGATCACATATGGAATATTATACTTGCTCCAGAGAATAACAGTGTAGAAAAAATTAAAACAGATTTGAATGCATCTAATGAAAAAGAAAATAAGTAAAGGGTCTCAAGCCTGTGATAATAATGATATCTACTTTTAATTGTGCTTCCTTTTGATTTTTTGAAAAAAAATCTCAGTGGATTATTTTATTTATATTCTAGGAAACATTATAATGAGATCGATAATCATAGATGTTCTGAAATTAAGTCACCAGAGTTCAAACACCTATGTTTTTATGAGCAGTTTAATTGAATTTTTTACGATTCACTTCCTTCAAATCCAAGACTCAAACTTGCCCAATGTGAAACTGATGTTAAGTGACACGTCTTGATGTACTATGAGTAAACTTGCAAAATTCAAGGACAAAGAGAAAATAATACAAATTTCCAAAAAGCAGTGGAGGGGGAAAAAACAGAATGCAACTTAAAAGGAATGAAACTACAAAAGGATATTAAGTCCAACTTTGGAAGTTGTAAAAAAAAAAAACGGGTAAAAAACAATATCAGTGATGAGCAATATGGGCTGTGGGCCAAGAAACTCTATCTAGAAAGAAGAGCATTTCAAGTCTGTATAAAGGAAAAAAGTCTAGAATAAACAAAGATTTAGCCTTTATAATCTATATGACTAATCTGTAGAAGCTACATGAAAATATTTTTCTAATCAAGCAAAAAAGAAATAAATTAATAAATTCAAGGTAAGTCTTAAAGAGAAATCATTCACCATTTGTTCCATATGACAAAACAGTTTTTGACTGTAGCAAATAAAAGTGACAGAGCTTAATTTAGAATACAGCAAAGACACGATTTGTTGAGGATTTATACCCCACAAACAGAATAATTTGAATGTTATTTGCAAGAAATGACACTAAATGAGCACTTAAACTTCAAAAAAGTGGAAGAAAAATCTTGGGGAGGACAAATATGGACTGCAGGACAAGAATCTCTACATAGAAAAGTTATTCACAAATTTTTGTTGAATAAAGCCATTTAAGATAAACAAGAATTCAGGCTATAATCTACACAAGTCTTTAGAAACTGCTTGAGAACTTTCCTGATCAAAAAGAAAAAATGAATCAGTAATCTAAAGAAATGTGAAGATGGTAGGGAATATTGTGTGTGTATGTGTGTTTGTGTGTAGTATATATGTTGGACCCTTTCATATGTAGTATAAGATTTCTTGAAAAAGAACATATATCTAAGAAAAACTAATTCTATTCTTGTGTTAAAAGTACTAAGTTACTTCTCAAAATCATCTCATTAAAATAGGAAATTTTCTGGAAGTATTATTTAGAAGCCTTATAATAACATAGAACTTAAACACATATGCCAAAATTATTTAATATATAAAAATAACTAAATAAACTGTAATTATATTGACAAAATATTTTACATGACTCATCACAACATTTATTTTCTAATTAAAATTAGAAATAAACAGTAAAATGTGTATCATACCATTAGGTATTTATATATTAAGAAATATTTCATTTCATTTTCTTTTAAGTAAAGAATGGAAAACATCTATAACTGGTTTGTGACATGAATAACAATGTCATTTTTCTATGTGATCAATGGAAAATTTTCAGGTTTTTTAATATTTCTTACATTGCCTCCAATAAATAGAAAAACTTTTAAAATAATTTAATTTAAAAAGTATCTGCCAAAATTGCTGAACCTTTCATTGAGTTGGTCTGAGAAGAAAAGGCGGTACTCTGATTTCTGATGGAAAGAAAAAGGAGACAGAGAGCTGAGTGGTAAAATCAGCAACTTTGTCTCTCAACTAGAAAGCTCACCAAATCAATCAGGGATGGGACATACGTATTCAAGAGGAATATGTTAAATGGGTGTGCAATTCTCTCCCTGGAAAGACTTTCTAGAAGTTTGCTCATCATGTGACCCACAAGACAAAATTTCACCTTCACTAGCAAACATCTCCTCACATACTTCAGTCATCTGAATTCTGTAACTTTTCTTCTAAAATCCCTAATTTAATGAGTGTAATTATACTAATAAGAAAATATAATTCATCCTTGAAAAATCCATCTCTAATCTGTTCATTAAAGTAAAATTTTGTTCATACTATTTTTGTTTTTCATTGCAAGTGAAACCTTGTAATTTTCTAAAAATAAAACACTACTTTATGAGGATGAGTATAGTCTATGCTTTCCAGTAGTTATTGGAAAATATTACTGGTATAAGCATGATCAAAATTATGTGCTTGCTTCAGGAAGTTCCTGGGGTCAAGTTACTTGCACACAGGATGGATGATCTCCAGCAGTTCTGTGTCTCTGTAGTACACCTCTTCACAACTATGTATGTATAAAACTTCCAGAGACTGTAGAGAGGAGAGCACATAAGCAATTACAATTAGGTCTTACAAAAAATATGGCCATGGGAAGAGTTGTCCATGCAAAAAGATCAAAATAAGTATTTTCTATTGTGAGGAACTCTTCATGAAAATCAAATTATTAATAAATATAAAGACTTCACAAGAATACCTATATAATTTATAGATACTTTAATTATAAAAATTAAAAATAAGTAACATTGAATGTGATAATTCATTTTTTTACACACATTTGGTAGTAGCTTTAGTTTTTCTTAAGTTATACATCATTTTAGGATATTTATACAGTCTTAGTTAAATATTGTAAGATAATTTCAATGTACTATTTTGACCAAATTTATGTGTCCATTTACTTTTATCTGTTTGTTATTTTTACGGTTCTTAGGATGATATACTTCCCATTATTTTGAATACGAACATTTCCCAAGATCTGGAGAAACATACATGCAAGGTCAGTCTATAAAAATTTCCTGCTGGTCAGTCTATAAAAATTTCCTGCTGGCCAGGCTCGGTGGCTCAGCCTTTAATCCCAGTGCTTTGGGAGGCCGAGGTGAGCGGATTGCCTGAGCCCCCGGGTTCGAGACCCGCCTGGGCAACTTGGCAAGACCTCATCTCTACAACAAATCAAAAACAAAAAAATTAGCCCGACGTGGTAGCGCACGCCTGTAGTTCCAGCTACTTGGAAGGCCCAGGCGGAAGGATCACCGGAGCCCAGCAGGTTGAGACTGAGGTGGCCGGGAACAGCCACTGCACTCCAGTCTGGGTGACAGTGAGACTCCAACTCAAAAAAAAAAAAAATTGTCCTGCTATCCTGGCTACCATCTTTCCAAATGATCAGACCACAATTACATGTACAGAGAATGGCTGGTCTCCTCTTTCTAGATGAACTGCTCTGAAATTTCATATATTTATGATTTTCTAAACCTAGGCTTTTAACTGTGAAAAGTTTTGTATACCAACTCTGAAGCTGAATGTATGAAGTCTTTTTTTTCCTTAAAACTGCAGCATACCTAGTTTTCAACTTCAGATGTGACTTCACAAATTTCCATGTAATAAATGGATTTGATTACTTAATGAAATCAAGTAACAATAGAAATATGTCATGAATATTGCAAAGTAATTTTAAATAAATTACATATTAAAAAAACCAAAACAGCATGGTTTTAGTATTTATATTGAAACCATGCTAAATGTGTTGATTTAAGTAATGAAATTTTAGCATTAATTACAAAATGAATACAATACTTGCCCAAAGATCATTCATATATCTCTCATAACTGTATAACATATATTTTTATAGTTAATGTTCTGTTGTTATAAAGTAAAACTCTAATAACAAATTATAGACTTTCATGTTTTAGGTAGAGAGGACTCTCAAACTTGTTTGTGTGTGTTGTTTGCAATTTACAAAACAACAGCCTAAGCACCTAAAGAACAGCCTAAGCATTTAAAGAAAAACTCTTTTTCTGCTCCCACATGCACCAACTCTATTTATCATTAGTTTACCTAATACACATTATTGTAGGTCAAGCACATTTATAGGTATTGAAAATAAAACTGTTTACAAGAAACACTTAACCTTATAGTTTAGAGTTTGAGGGAAATTCACAGGAAAAAAAAACAAAAGCAAGAATAGACCAGAAAATTAACGATTATGAGTAATGCTATATTATAAATATAAATCATATTTAATATGATTTCTTCTTTTATACAACAAAATTATTCAATTTACATTTCTTTTTATTAGAAATATAACTTGTTTTTGCTATTTTGTTTTTTCTACTTATATTTCCACATCTCCTCCAAATGCTAGATCTATATGGGCTTAGGCACCCACTTGCCATGGTAATCATACCAAATTCCTGGAGCCAAAGGATTTACAAGATTACCTCTGCACCTATAGTGATATTGTGTGAGATATATTTACCTGGAAAATGGGAACTGACTAAATGAGCTCTAGGACTCCCTAATAGTACAAAGATGATTCAGGTTATTACAAAGCAGCCAGAAAATTTTCCAAAAAAAATTAAACATTATTATTAAACATTATTATTAAACATTAATATTTTTAAAATATTAAACATTATTAATATCTAATGTCTATTAGATCTGAATTACCCAAAGTATGCCAAGGCTCTTTTGGTACAGTCTTTTCCTTTCTTTTATTCTACCTTTCCTTGTGTTTTCAGTATTTTATTTGGAAATGCCTAGATAATTTATTTTCACTGTCACAAGAACATGGATAGCTAGGAAACTCCACTTTTGCTTTTATCAACTCACTAACAAATGTTTGAATTTTCATGGTAAAAATTTCTTTTTTACATTTTTTCTCCTATAAAATAATTATTAAACAAATATTTACATCTTCTCTATCTTTTCTCCTTTAGGAACATACTCAAAATCAGATCTAAAATTAAAAAGGGATTTATTTTCTGAATTTTATTGTATTTATTCTTTAAATAAAGAAACATCATGTACATATAAACCAGGATAGGCAACCACTGGTGGAAAGACTTCAGTATTCATTAAATGTATGCAAAGTGGATGGTCAACTCAATTGATGTCCATTATTAAGTGACATTATATTGCTATTCAGTTTCTGTTAACCATTTTTCTCTATTTCAGGATGATAGTGTTTACTTAAAAATAAAGAAAATACTTTTACAAGTAAAGAGATGTAAATACTTCGAATAGAATTTAACATATTGTTCTGAATTAAGTCTTTATTTTTAGGGTAATTACTAATAAGAAGAGGGTCATTCCATCTCATTGAATTCAATTTGCCTTTACATAAAAGCAATCCCATTATCTAAAGATTAGTTAGGAAGTTTTATGGGAATATCAGCAAAATGGATTTAATTATAAATTAAAACTTTCTACTTTTCTCTTTGTATCTTAAAAAACTCCTTGTATTTGATTCCTTGCTCACACAAATAAAAATGTACATGCAAATAAGAAATTGATGCTTCAATCTGAGTTTTTGATGGCATCATATTAGAAGAATTCGATCTTAATAATGTGTATCAATGATACTACTGAGAAGGTCCAACTCTAAATATTATTTCTGCCTGTCATACAGTATAGGAAAAATAGGTGAAGGGAAGGAGTGGGCTGAAGTATGGAGCTGGGAATGTTTATAAACTTTATATTAACCAACAAATTTCTTACTCAAAAACGGGCTGAACTTTTACATAAGATGACAATATGAGTATAACCTTTCACTGTCAAAATTTGATACTTTTCTCTCTCTTCTTTGTACATTCATAAAGATTATTTAAGATAAATGGTTTGGCGTATTTTTAACAGAGATATTATTATGTAATGTATATACTTCAAAATTCACTCCATTTTTAAGGGTCCAAGTCAACTATTTTTAGCCATCTGATAAAATGGAAGGAACTACTGGTACATAATGCAATACCAATGAATCTCAAAACACTAAACTTAGTAAAAAAACAAACAAAAAAACAGCAATAGTTACAAAGTGATTTTCTCAAAGTCACTCTGAAATTTTGGGGCTATAAGATATCAAGTCCTACATTTTTAGAATGCTGTTTTCCATTTCTATGTTTATCATGGGCTCTATATAAAGAAAAACCTGTACATTTTGCAATTCATTTTTTTACTCTGCTTTGAGGAAAGAGGATACTTTATAAATGTTTATGGATTGTATATCAATTAGTGAAATTTTGCTGTAGCATATTACACCTTTAATGTTAGTAAATCTGGTACCTAAATAGGTATGTTAACTCTTAAATTCACAAAGTTTTATCATCTTTAAAATAATAATATCAAAACACTATAATAGAATACTTGAATAACAACCAATGACATGCTCACAAGTAAAACTAGATTTGACTAAATGTTCTTAAAAATATGTACATCCATAAGTTTTGAATGATAAGAAAGATTATATATATAAAAATATATTTTTCCTTATTTTAGCACAAAAAAGCACTGGATTGTCAGATTATTTTTCATTCTATTCAGTTTATTAGCACAGACTGGTAAACTTTGTTCCTACAATGATACTTTGTCAGTTGAGTTGTACATGATACAGCATGAAAATTAAATCATCAATTTTATTTTGCTTTAGAATTTTGTGATATGCCATTTTGTGAGAATTCTAGAATCAAAAGTAATGGCACAAGGTTTATGCTCAATGACATATTGGACTATGAATGCTGTGATGGATAGGAAACCAAAACTGGAAACACCACAGGTTCCATAGTATGTGGTGAAGATGGTTGGTCCCATTTGCCATGCTATCGTAAGTATTTTTATTTAGTTATTTCTTTATATCTGTCTGTCTATCTATCTATCATCTATCTATAGTCTTTGCTTGAGTGTGCGTCATTCTGACACATTTTTTAAAAATAAGGTTAACAACGCAAAATGTCTTTCTCAGAAATCAAATAATACAGAGTTAATAGTACATTAAGAGACTGTATATAGATAGTTTTCAGTAAAAATTGTTCATTTTTCTTCACAAAATGCTTTTTTAAAGATTTTACAGAAAAGTTTGGGTCTCTGCCACCTATTAGTAATGGGGATGTCACTTCTTTCCCATTAAAAGTGTATCCTCCACAGTCAAAACTTGAGTACCAATGCCAGTCCTACTATTAACATCGGGGTTTTAAATATGTAACATGTAGCAATGGAAAGTGGTCAGAACCACCAAAATACATAGATAAGTTTTATTCTTTTAGATGCTGAGAAAAGCAGAGGAATAAGTTTGCTATTTGCCTGTTTATAGTAGATTTTCATAGGTTATTACATTCAAATTGTGTTCACAAACAGTTATTCTGTTGAATGACTTTCAAATATTAATACATAAAGTTATAAGCTTAGAATATTTTTATGCAAACAATGGCAAAGTTTCTATAAATAAGAATTTTCAGAGACCTCAATTTGCTTATGACCCTATAAATCTTCAAGAATAACACCCATGTATTACTCACATATGAAATATGGTATATCAGTTTAACAACAGATGGTATATCAGTTTAACAAGAGGAAAATTAATATCTCCAAGTCAAAACCATTTTCATATTATTGACACTTTTTTATATGGCATTTTTTTTTTCTTTCTTTCTTTTTTTTTTTTTTGAGAAAGCAGGATTTATTGAGAGAACAGAAAATCTCCCTCAGCGAGAGGGGATCCGAAGGGGTTGTGCCATATAAAGCATTTTTAAAGAGGGTTTGGAAAACATTATTTCAAGAAACTGTGAGTCATTATCTGAGATTCTACTCAAAAACTAAAAGGTTTTCTGGTAGAACACAAAGCTGGTTAACATTGATAAGTCCTTGCTCTATTTTTTCTAGCTGTATTTTGCCAGTATATCTAGCAAGCAAGAAAGAAATTAATGGAAATTTCCACCACTTCCAAAACTCACCAATTTCCCATTTTTACCTTCATCTCCTCTCCCTTCATATCAGAATCAAAATGAATATGCTAGGTAACTTCCAAGTCAGTAACATATGCATTTCAGTATTCTGTCTCCCAAGTTCTACCAACCTGAAGTGATACAAATAAAAGAATACAGATAGCAATCATAATGGCAACAGCAACAAAACCAGAACCATGTTTAACAAGACTCTACTATTTATGAAGTAGAAAACTGAAAGGCCCTGTTGATCAGACAACCGTTTCCTACCATAGTTCTTAAACTCAAAGTTTGTAAGTTTTTTAAGTGTTTGAGTTTCTAAATATAGCATAATACCAACAGTTCCTTTCTGTGATGTGACTCTTTTCCTTTCAGATTTTGCTACATTTTATCTTTTACACTGACTGATGATGCTGACATTTTGGCTGACCCTGCTGTGAATCAAACTGCAGTTATTGTCTCCTATTTATGTGTCCACTTCTTTAGGAGATCATATCTAAGTCTGGACTCCAAACTATGCAAGTGGCAAATCTGAAGAGGAAAATTAATATCTCCAAGTCAAAATAGTCCAGAAATATCTCCACACTAGATTTCATAGGAAAAATAGCGAAGTTCCAGAGATAAATTCTGAGTCTTATATATGATTGACTTAGGAGATGGTGAATCCTAAGATGTGTTTCAGAGCAAAAAGATTACCTTTTCTAGGAATCAAGAATAGGAAATTATAACTGCCTGAGGACAGAAAATCAATTCTATGGCAGAGGCAAAGTTTTATTTTAAGTTCTTAAATCTAAAGAAGCAAAGAGCATTCAAGTAGAGTATTCTAGGGAAAAAGGCAACATCATGTATAATATTACACATACATATGACATATTAAAGCAGTGAGGAAAAATCTTCCCTGTGACAGTACACTTAAGAAAGTTCTGAAAAATATGTTTGAAGAAGAATGTAGATCTCATATAATTTATATATTGGATATTAAATAGCCCCTGAATATACTGAAGAGTTCTTTAAAACTTTTCAGTTTTAGAAGTCTATTTTAAGAAGTACTATTTTAAGAAGTTTATTTAGGTAAGAGTCTGAAGGATTCTGGAAAATTACCAAAGACATATTAATGTCAAAATAAGGACTAGACTAAAATAGAAAATACTTGAGTCAAAAGAATAGAAAGAGGAGTCAATGATATCTCAAAAACTAAAAGTCTAATTATGTAAAAATTTCTCAAATGCAATAGCAACCCAATATAAATATAGGCAAAAGCTTAAAGATGGTGGAAAAGTGATATGAAAATATTGCTTACAGTCACATTGTAATAGCTATAAACTTGAAACTCCTAATGTCTCTAAAAGAAAATCCTTCTGTGAATGGTAACATTAGCTTACTGATTTTACAGGTGAAGACACAATGAGTAATTTCTTCATGATCAAGTTAGGATTCATATTCACTCTGTGTGCTGATACATACAGCTTTACCATAGAAAATGAAAATGATCAAGATATAGATGATAGATAGGTAGATGACAGATTAAGAAGAAGATAGATACAGAGCATAGATAATGATATATAGAAAGATAATTGATAGATATGGATATATATGTATATATAGTCTCATTTTAATAGATGACTATTTATTAAATTATTCCTTTCTATAGTTCTTTCTATATTGTGGACATAAGGGAAAATATAAAAGATTTAAACTAGCAAATTTGGGTAAATTTGAAGTGTTTGTGCTCACTGCTAGTTGAATAGGAAAAGGAGGATGAAAAACCATAACCCTAATAGAACATGTTTATATAATCCTTTTTAATCAATGAAGTCACTAGTGTGGACACAACATGTATTAGAAATGAAGAGTCTAGGGTCTGGAGAGACTGTCAGGGTCTACATTCATCAGTTCCACCTGAGGAACGGGGTGACCTTGGGGAAGTGTAACTGAACCCCACTTTACCTCAGTTTTCTAGTGTATGAAATAGGAACAGCTGCTTGATGTAGAAGTTATATGGATTTAAAGAGCTTATACTTGGGCAAGATGGCGATGGGACAGGTCGGACTGTGAATGTGTCTGCAAAAGGTGGCTGCTGCAGCCAGTTCCATGTGCCACAGCCACTGCCACCACCACCTCTGCAAAAAGTGGCTGCTGCAGCTGGTCACACACAATGCATTGCCGTCACTGCCACCACCATCACTGCAAAAGGTGGCTGCTACAGCCAGTCACACACACTGCACCTCTGTCACATCCCTCAGCTCCCAGCCCTGAGGAATTCCAGGCTTCTTCCCCCACCCCAAGCTTCCCCCGCAGCATGCTGACCTACAGCACCCAGTTGTCTCACATCCCGCCTCCTCCAGCTCAATCCCAGCAATGGCAGGACGAGAGATCAGTTGAAGCCTGGAGTTCGATCAGTGAAGAGAGGATTGGGGAGTCACAGGGAGGAGATCCATGCCCAGTAAAGAGGTGCACTGCAGAAATTTTCTGTCCCAGGACCAGGCAGAGACCTGCATCACCCCGCCCAACTCCACACAGCTCTGCCCAGCCTCCAACTTGGGACCTGAGGTAATCGCATCAAAAGGGAAGAGACAGAAGACCCTCCCCCATGCTAGATCAGAAACAGGTCAGATCTGAGTGGCAGACCTGAAGGGCAGCAAGTCAACTGAATCCAGATCTGATCCACCCTCCTTCCACAGCAAGCCTGGGATATCTGACCCTAGCTGTGAGCAACCCTACCAGTCTCCAATGAGAGCTAGAGATCAGAGCTGAAAGGAAGTTCACAGGAACGATCTCAGAGCAAGCTTGATTTGTTGTTTTTGCTTTTTTTAATTTTTACTCTTTGTTTTGCTCATTTTTGTTTTATGTTTTACTTTTTTCTCTCTTCTCTCTGTTTTTAATAATGTTTTCATACTTTCCTTGTTTCTGTTATTTTACTAATTTTTCTTTTCTTCTTTAGACCTCCTGCTTGTGTAGGGGAATTGTCAATAGGGAGAGGCTGGTTAGCTTGTGTGTATGAGTGTATGTTTTAGGGTTTTTTTTTTACTCTTTTCTGTCTTTGTGTCTCTTTTCATTTGTTAGTTGGAATACTTGTCTGTCATCCCTCTTACTCTTCTCTCTCTCCATCTTCCTCTTTTCCCTCTCCTTCCCAGTTCCATTATTTTCCTTTTTTTAAATACCTCATTTTGCTTTCAGGGAGCAAGCTTACACCTCCACTGCATGGACAGATTGTAAGACAGTGGGAAGGGGGTTCCAGGGTACCCATACACCTGTCAGTGGATATTGGGATCTGCAGATAGATGTTGAATCACAGCTCCCACCTCAACTAAATCTCAAAACTGCAAAACAGTAGAGCCCCCAACCCACAGTCCAGCTTTAGAACTGAACAAAGTCAGAGGATTCACATGAGGAAGATAGGAGATTGAGCAAACAGAAGTAAAAGCAACCCCACCATCCCTGAACAAAGAATTAAAGAAGGGGGAGGAAAAAGTGGGGAGGAAAATCTACACAAATGAAGAAAAACCAAAATAAGAATACAGGTCTCACACAGACCCCTTGGGAGGTTAGACAATGAGAAAATAGACTTTGAAACATAAACAATGAAGCACCACAAAATGACTGGTCACATACTACAAACCCAGACATGATGTCAAAACATTAATAGAGAGAATAAAAAGAATTGAGGAGAGAAAAGAAGAAAACAGGAAGGAGTTGATAACTGAGATAATAGCAGTAAAGAATAATGTGATTGAAATAAATAACAAACTAATAATCAGAATTAGCAAAGCAGAAGAAAGGATCTCAGAGCTTCAGGACCAAAATATAAAACTAACTCAAACTGTCAAAAACATAGAAAAGAAACTTAACAAGACAGAACAAAACCACCAAGAGGCTGAACTTTAGAGTAACTGGACTTCCTGAAGCAGAAAGAGAGATAGAGACAACCCTGGAACAAACATTCCATGAAATCATTCAAGAAAACTTCCATCATCTCATCAGTGATGTGAAAATTCAAACACAAGAGATTCAGAGAACCCCTGCAAGACAACAAATGAGAAGACCAACTCCCAGACACATAATAATTAGCTAAACAAAGTAGGTATAAAAGAAAAAATTCTAAAGCCAGTAAGAGAAAAAGGTCAGACTACCTACTGGAGACGACCAATTAGAATAACAGCAGATTTATCTATAGAAACACTTCAGGCTAGGAAAGCATGGTGCCCAATCTTCAAATTTCCCAAAGATTAACAATTTCAACCAAGAATAACATACCCAGCTAAGCTAAACTTCATCAAGAGGGAGAAGTAAAATCGTTCCCCGACATTCAATCCCTAAGATCTTACGCTGCCTCTAGACCACCTCTATAAGAAACACTTAAGAAGCCGGGCTCGGTGGCTCAGCCTGTAATCCTGCACCTTTGGGAGGCTGAGGTGAGTGGATTGCCTGAGCCCGCAGGTTCGAGACCCGCCTGGGCAGCGAGACCTCATCTCTACAATAAATCAAAAAATCAGCCAGGCTTGGTATCGCATGCCTGAAATTCCGGCTACTCGGAAGGCTGAGGCGGAAGGGTCGCCGGAGCCCAGCAGGTCGAGGCTGTGGTGGCCAGGAGCGGCCACTGCACTCCAGTCTGGGTGACAGAGTGAGACTCCAACTCAAAAAAAAAAAGAAAGAAACACTTAAGAAAGTCTTAAGCACAGTAGAAAAGGAAAAAAGAATGGCAACGTCCTTCACAAGAGTGCAAGAAAAAAATTGAAAACACACAAAAAAACCCAAAATCAAAAGAAAGACAGCAAACAGAACAAATACAAATCAGTAAGAACCTTATAACAAGAATATACTCTCACATTACAATAATTAGCCTGAATATAAATGGACTAAATGCACCACTGAAAAGACATGGAATGGCAAAATGGATAAAAGATCATGAAGTAACAATGTAATGTCTCCAAGAGACTCACTTGAACAGAAGGGACATTCATAGACTCAAGGTAAAAGGATGGGAAAGAAAATTTCAGGTGACTGGAACACAAAAGAAAGCAGGAGTTGCAATCTAATATCAGACAAAATACTCTTTAAACTATCAAAAATTTTAAAAGATTTAGAAGGTCACTACATAATGATAAAAGGTTCAATCCATCAACAAAGAACTATCCATCCTAAACATATATGCACCCAACATTGGAGCACCAACTGTCATAAAGCAGCTTCTAGGTAAACTTAAAAATGACATTGACTCTAACACTATCATAATTGGGAACTTTAATACCCACTCACAACCCTAGTCAGATCATCAGGACAAAAAATCAGAAAGGAGATCCGGAACCTCAATGTGACTCTTGACCATATGGACTTAATTGATACCTATAGAAAAGTCCACCCAATGACCATAGAATATACATTCTACTCATCACCACAATGGAACATACTCTAAGATAGACTACAACCTTGGCCATAAATCAATCGTAAACACATTTCATAAAACTGAAATTTTGCTGTGCACCTTCTCAGACCACAGTGGAATAAAAATAAATATCAACACCAACAAAGTTCCTCCAAAACCCACAATGACATAGACACTAAACTGCATGATTCTAAGCAACTCCTAGGTCAACATGGAAATCAAAAGAGATTAAAAAGATACCTGGAAACAAATGAAAATGAAGAAACATCTTACCAAAATCTCTGGGATGCCATGAAAGCAATAGTAAGAGGTGAATTCATATCTCTACAAATGCACATGAAGAAAATGGAAAGATCACAAGTTAACAGCCTAACAAGACACCTAAGGAAGCTGGAAAAGCAAGATCATTAAAACCCTAACTTCAGCAGAAGAACCCAGATCACAAGATAAAAACCCAAACCCGGGACATAGAAGAAGAAAAGATAATATGAAAAAATCAATGAAATAAAAAGTCAGTTCATTGAAAGGGTAAGCAAGAGTGATGGTCCCCTAGCTGGACTGACAAAGTAAAAGAGAGAAAAAACTCAAATAAATACAATCAGAAACACAAAAGATGAAGTCACATCTGACCCTGAAGAAATACAAAAGATTATCAGAGACTACTAAGTACACTTGTATGAAAACAAACTTGAAAACCTAAAGCAAATGGAGGACTTTCTGACATCACACAACCTCCCTAGGTTGAAACAAGATGAAATTGAGACCCTAAATAGGCCAATAACAATCAAGGAAATTGTTTATGTCATAAGAAAACTACCTACAAAAAAAGCCCTAGACCAGATGGCTTTACAGCAGAATTCTACAAAACATATAAGGAGGAATTGATACCAATCCTATTGAAAGCATTCCAGGTGATTGAGGAAGATGGAATACTCCCCAAATCATTTTACGAAGCTAACATCACATTGATACCCAAGCCAGGTAAAGTCCCAATAAAGAAAGAGAATTATAGGTCAATATTCTAGATGAACATAGATGCTAAAATTCCCAACAAGATCCTAGCAAACCAGATTCAACAACACTTCTCAAAAATCATCCAGCATGACCAAGTAGGCTTCATCCCTGAGATACAAGGTTGGTTCAACAATAGTAAGACCATAAATGTAATTAAATACATTAACAGATGTAAAAACAAAAACCACATAATTATATCATTAGATACAGAAAAAACTTTCGACAAAATCCAGCACCCCTTTTTGATAAAAAACCCTCAAACATCTAGGCATAGGTGGAACATACCTCAAAATAGTAAGAACCATCTGTGAGAAACCCACAGCCAGCACACTGCTAAACAGACAGAAATTGGAACCATTTCCCCTGAAAATTGGAACAAGACAAGGATGCCCACTCTCACCCCTCCTGTTCAACTTGGTTTTGGAAGTCCTGGCTAGAGCAATCAGAGAAGAGAAGGCAATCAGGTGTATCCAAATAGGAAAAGAGGAAGTCAAGTTATCTCTCTTTGCAGATGACCTGATTGTGTACCTTGAAAACCCAAGAGAATCTATCAAAAACCTCCTTACACTGATAAAGGACTTTGGCAAAGTCTCAGGGTATAAAATAAATATGCAAAAAACAATCACATTTCTATACACCAATAATAAGCAAGCAGAAACCCAAATAAAAAGCACAATTCCATTCACAATAGCCACAAAAAATGAAATACCTTGGCATCTTCCTAACCAGACATGTGAAAGATCTTTACAATGAAAACTACAAAACACTGCTCAAAGAAATCAAAGATGACACAAACAAGTGGAAAAATATCCCATGCTCATGGATTGGAAGAATCAACATAGTTAAGATGTCCATTCTACCTAAGGTAATCTACATATTTAATGCAATCCCCATCAAATTACCAGCAACATCCTTCTCAGACCTAGAAACAACAATACATGAATTCATAAGGAAACATAAATGACCAAGAATAGCCAAAACAATCCTCAGCAAAAAAACAAAAACAAAACAGGAAGTATCACACTCCCAGACTTTAAACTTTATTATAAAACTACAATGATCAAAACAGCCTGGTATTGGTACAAGAACTGGCATATAGACCAATGGAATAGAATTGAGATTCCAGAAGCAAAACCTCAATTTCTCAACCAACTCATCTTTGACAAACCCTCCACCACCTACCACTGGGGAGAGGAGAACCTATTCAATAATTGGTGCTGGGAAACTGGCTGACCACATACAGAAGATTGAAACAGGATACCTACCTATCCCCGTACACAAAAATCAATTCTAAATGGATCAGATATCTAAATGTAAAACCTCAAACTATAAGAACCCTAGAAAATGCAGCAGAAACCCTTATGGAAGTTGGAACTGGCAACCAATTCCTAATAAAAACCAGAAGTGCCCCAGGCCATAAGATATAAGATAGACAAGTGGGACCTCATCAAACTGACAAGCTTGTGCAAAGCCAAAGAAACCATCAAGAGAGCAGGGAGACAGCCCACAGACTGGGATAAAATATTTGCCAACTCCATGTCTGACTAAGGCCTAACATCTAGGATCTACAAGGAACTCAAACGTGCTGGAAAGAAAGAAAAAAAAAACAGCCCCATTGCAAAGTGGGCAAAAGATATGAATAGACAGCTCTCAAAAGAAGACATACGAGCAACCAACAGATACATGAGAAAATGTTCAGTCATCAAAGAGATGCAAATTAAAACTACACTGAGATACCACCTAATTCCAGTCAGAATGGCCATCATCAATAACTAAAAAAATAACAGATGCTGGAGAAGATGTGGCAAAAAAGGAATCCTTCTAAACTGTTGGCAGGAGTACAGCCTCTGTGGAAAACAGTGTGGTGATTCCTAAAAGTTCTAAAAATCGACCTTCCATCTGACCCTGCAATCTACCTACTGGGAATATACCTGGAAGAATTCAAAACACCCTATAAAAAGGATACCTGCACATGTATGTTTATCGCAGCACTGCTCACAATGCTGCCAAACATGGAAACAACCATGCTGCCCATCAAAAGAAGACTGGATTAAAAAATGTGGTACATATACACAATGGAATATTACGCAGCCATAAAGAAGAACAAAATCATGAACTTTGCAGCAACCTGGATGGAATTAGAGTCTCTAATACTAAGTGATCTTTCACAGAAACAAAGAACTGAGTATCACATGTTCTCACTCATAAGTAGACCTTGAACAACTACTGCAATACTATAAGAAAAGGATTGACAGTAGTGGGAAACTGCAGAGGGGAGGGGGGATGGGGAGGTGGGATTGACAGTAGTCGAAATCTGCCTGGGGAAGGGGGGCACACCTCATCAGCAAGTGTACCTGCACAGTGAATATTTGTATACCTAACTCTGATATGTACCCCACAATTTTAAAATAAAAGATTTTTTAAAGTTAAAAAAATTAAAAAATAAAGAGCTTATACTTGCAAAATGCTAAACACAATGTCATGTAAGTTAATAAAGTTATCTATTTGGATTTTCTAAACAAATCATAAGGAGGTGGTTTTATAAGATGATAAAAGGTGAAATTGTGATTGTTAATTAATGAATTTTGTTTTTTTCTACTTCCAGATCCATGTATAATATCTGAAGAAATCATTAATAAAAATAACATACAGTTGGAAGAGAAAAGTGACAAACAATATGTAAAAACAGAAAATACCCTTGAATTTATGTGTAAATTGGGATACAGTGCAAATACATCAATGCTATCATTTCAAGCAGTGTGTCGAGAAGGGATCATGGAATATCCCCTGTGTGGTTAGAAAAGCATTGTTAGAATAAACATGTGGCCAGCTTCTACTTCTCACTCTAATTGTCCTAAAGCTGGCAAAAATAACTTCTAATATTTTTCCTGATTTCTATTTATTACAAAGAAAATAAAAATGATATAGAAACAATTTGTAACTGATATCTTCTCAAAAATATGTTAAAACAAACTAAAATATTCCTTATGCTTGTCCCAAAATAACAAAAACTATTTACCAGTCTCTGATAGTGGACTACTTATCAGCAGATTAGTAAATATACCAACAGCGATAGCTACATGATTTTCTACATAGTGTACAATATACCTAGACATTCAAACAAAATAAGTGCATTTAGAATGTATTTGAAGAAGTAATATTATCATAAAATTAGATATTAAAGTAGTAAGTGAAAATAAATGCACTATAGAATTTCTTTATGGCAGCCTCAAAGTGCTGTTGACCAAATAGGGTCATTTTTTATCAAAAGTAGTGTTTCCTGTTTCCTGCTAAACATTGACATGAAACCATTATCATGATTCAAGGGAAATAGTACTGGAGTAGGTAAACCAGCATCACTTTCCTGTGGAAACAAACATGCAGATTTTGCTAACCCTTTCAGAGCATTAGGGGTGGGGGAGGATGTGCATTAAGTGCATATGTTAATTTGAGCAATGGTGACACTTGAGGATGCTGAAAATTCCTCTTTAAGGAAATAATAATTTTTCCTATTTTTTCAAGGTTACATTTATGTTTTTGAATATAGCTACTTTAAAATTTGTGCATATGTGTTTTTTTCCCACATGTCTGCTTAAGTTTCACTTAAGAATTTTTTGTTCCTTTCTTTTGTTATTGTATATAAACTCTTCACACTCACTGTCCTATGCTTGAGCTTTTTAAAAATTGTATATCCTTGATAACAGATTGAATCTTTATTGTCCTTAAGAGGTTTTTCCCCCCGAAGTTAGTATGTGGTTAATAAGAAGTTGCAGAGTAAGAAGAAAAGAAAACATTCCCTTTCCCAAAATATTCTTGCTGGTTATAGAGAAAAAAGCATGAACTTTTTATAATGCTGTTGTTCTATACTGGATGAGAGATATTAATTACTAGACTAAGAAGGCTTTGGTGGTTAAAGTTAAAAATAACTTTTTAAGACCTAAAAATGAGATAAGCTATGAAGTCTAATTGTATTTTCACACAGCAAGTTTGCAGAGACTTGAGAATGAAAGTAAAATGTTTTGTTATTTCCACTAACTTAGTTCCACCTGATCAGAATACATCATAAGTACAATTTTTGAAAATAATTGCCTTTGTTTCCTAAAATGGTGCAAAAAATATATGTCAGGAAATCATAAAGATAGATGTTGAAATACAGGTTATTGTATAAAGCAAAGAAACAACAAGCAATATCAGGAAGATGAACATAAAATTTTATTTGAAATAGGATGTTAAATAGTAGTGTAGATATCTAGCAAATTGAATTACATAGAAAGGAAACTTGATAAGTGTGGTGAGTGTTCAAAGGGAAATCATAGAGAAATAAATTATTACAGAGATAATGATTAAACTGGAGCATAAGTCACAAAAAACCAACCCTAGGAAGGAGGCCAGTATAACTGGAATAAGAACAACCATCAAAGTGTTCTTACATTTCTTTCTGAACACATATTCCTAATGCATAGCTTAACTTGGTTCCAGCCAAAATGAAAGAGAAGAACTCATAGAAATATAATTTAGCCAATTTTTTTAAATTACAAGAGTAATAAATACATCTTACAAATTTTTAAGCAGGAAAATAAAAATGACTGAAAAGGAAACCTTTGGGGAAATAGAGCAGCTATACTCTCCATATGAAAATGTAGACAATAATATACCCAATGTGATGTTAGTCAAGTCCAAAAAGCTATTGATTAGTTCCTTAATTTGTGCTTAGAAATCAATTGCATTAACGAATTCACTAAGAATCATTATGTGCCAAGTCTTTTATTTAGATAGGAACATCTAAAGCATTTGAATTTGAAAGTATTTCTATTGCTAAATATAGAGCTAACTATAACCTCTTTGAAGATACAACGCAAATACAAAATTCAGAGTATTAAAGTATATATAGATAGTATGCTGTTAATTTTTTAGGACACAAACGAAAGAGAAGACAGAAAATAATAGGCAGACAGTCAGGGGGTCCCAGCAATTAGCTACCTGCAGGCCCCTTGAACTAGAGCAAAAACACTCACTTCCTGGAATTCAAATACACACCACAATACCTCCGACCAATCAGATCACTACTAGGTCTCTACCTCTGGTGGCTTTGGCCTTAGTACTAACCAGTCAGTTCAGCCATTGCCAACCAATCAGATCACTGCTAAAGCTAGCCAATCAGCTTGATTCTAGGAGTATATAAGGGCTCTGTTTCAACCCCAGACTGGCCACCCTCTTTCGGGGCCCCTCCTTTCGTGGGAGCTTTTCTGACTTGGGCTTCAGACAAGAACCTGGACCGAATAGCTTCTCTGCTGAAGACCCTAGGAGCTGAACATCATGGAGCTGAAGATTGTTGGAGCTGAAAATCGTCAGAGCTGAAGTCGGCTAGACTTGAAGAACTGTACGGAAGCCTGGCCTGCCAGCCAAGGATGGGGACAGATCAGAGTTGAAACTGACGGAGTTGCAGCCTGGAGCTGAAGTGAAACCTGCAGGCGGAGAGGAGCTGAAAGCGAAACCTACTATGAAGCAAAACCCACCACAGAGCCCCAGAGCCGTAACACTTCTCCAAGTCTTGCTTGCCCGCCCCTATCACTTCTTGGGACTTGGCTTTCTGGTCCATCAACCCAACGTTTCTCGACAGAGCGGCAACACTTTCAGGGGGCTCTGCAGCGGCTAGCACCCTCAAACTCTCAGGGCGTTCCTATACCCTCCAGAAGCCATCACTTCCTGGCCACCCGCGTGCAACCTGGGCTGAGGTGCAGCTCCGGAAACTGCGACACCCGGCTCTCCCGCCCACCAGATTAAAAAAAACCGCATCACAAATATAGGACAAAGATTCCCAGGAAAAATAAAATATTTTGATTTTTATTCCTTTGAGGGTTTCTTATATTTTACACCTGTCTTGAGGCAATATTACTTTTCTAATCAGAAAATTAATTTCAAACTGAAAATGACAAAGATTAAGCCATATATGCCCTAAAAATTATCTTGTAAATTATCCTCAGATCACATTACTATTTTTATATTGCAATATGTGAATTCATACTGTCATTGACTCTAACAGTAAACAGATACTTTGCCAAATAAAATATAGAGATAGTAAATATACTTCTAAAAATATTCTGAACAAGTTCATAGAAATATTTCATCATTCGTCATTAATATGTTGCAAATTGTAACCACAATAAAATATTACTCCAAATTCATTAAAATTGCTAAAATTAAAAAGACCATACCCAAGATTGGTGAAGGGGTGGAGCAACCGGCATTCTTATGCACTGCTGGGAATAATGTAAAGTTTCTTTAAAAACTCGTCAGGTGTGGTGGCTCATGCCTGTAATTCCAGCACTTTAGGAAGTTGAAGTTGGAGGATTTCTTGAGAATAGGAGTTCAAGACCAACCTGGACAACATAGAAAGACACCAAACAATGTATAACTCAGCTATTTTACTCCTAGATATTTACCCACGGGGAAAAAAAAAAAAAAAGCATGTCCACACAGAGACTTATATACAAATACTCATAGAACTTTATTTGAAGTAGACAAACATGGAACAACCCATATGTTCATCAGTAGAAAAATGAAGAATCAAATTGTGATATACCAATACAATAGAGTATAATTTATCAATAAAAAGGAATAAGTGATTGATCCTCAGAAAAACATGGATCAATGTGAAGTAATTATACTGAATAAAATGAACCAGATAAAATATTTTAAACATGAAATTTGTTCTGTCAGTTATGTTTCCATAAAATGTAATAAATTTTCATAAATGTAAAAAAAATTTTAATGTCAATGTTTTTTTGTTTGGTTGTTTTCAGAACTTTCTTGGGCGAGATGGATAGAGTTTCATTCCCCATTTCCTCAAGTCTAATCAAGAATGGCTTTAAAGAGACTACTTGGAAGTCTTGCTATTTATTTCACAGGCTTGTATCTGATTCATGACTAATAGAAATTAAAGAAAGAGAGAACGAGAAACTGGCAGAGAAAAGAATCAGAGACAAAAAAGAGATAAATTGGCTTGGAGGCAACTTAAAAAGACATTGTTGAAGAAGTAGCATACTTAATAAGAAAAAAGACAGCCAGCAAAACATTGGAATGCAACATACAAACCAGGTTCCAAAGAATTTTAAAAATTAATTACTCTCAAATGTATTGCCCTGCTTTTTCTTTTTCTACTAAACCCTGAAAGAGTCAAGGACCCAGATGATAAATTGTGTGAGGAATGGAAGGATAGGATAGTAAGAGGGAAGAGCTACCAGGGATGACGGAGGAGTCCACCATGTTTCCCGTTTCTACCATATCTTCTACTTCATAGGAAGGGGGGGAAAGGAGGCAAAAACTTTGCTTTGAACCAAGTTCAGATTTCTGATTCTTGTATTAAACTGGACCACCAATTCATTTTTGCTATTGAAGGCCAAGTAAGCAATGTTGCAGATTTCATATCGTGTCACACACAATTTTTTTTTTTCCAAATTCAGGTCTCATTCTGTCACCCAGAGGCACGATCACAGCTCACTGCAACCTCAACCTCCTAGGCACAGGCAATCCTTCCACCTCAGCTTCCCAACTAAATGAGATTGTAGGTACACTTTACTTTCTGTGGCTAATTTTTTTTTTTTTTTTTTGTAAAGACAAGAGCTAACTGTGTTGCCCAGGCTGGTCTTGAACTCCTGAACTCAAGCAATCCTCTTGTCTCGGTCTCCCAAAGTGCTGGCCCACATCACACATTTCTGAAGCTTGGCCCACACCAGAAATTTCTGAAGCTAGGATTGAGCCTGAATAAGGACAAGGAAAGTCTAAGCTATGCAGTTATA